AGACCACACATAAATTCAAATCATCTGTCTCATTTGGTCCCACTGTGAGGATGCTTTATTCAAGAGGCTGTCCTACCTTTGGTCCTGGCTCCCCAGTGCCCCTCTCTCCTGGAGGTCCAGGCTCTCCGGGGAAACCCTGGTCACCCTGGAAAAAAAAAAACAAATCACTGAATGAAAGTCATGTTCAAAAGGTGTTTTTACAGATTTTAAACAAATCTCCAGGTAAATGTATTTCGAAGATACAATTACAGCAAATAGTAATAGTAAACATTTACCCACATTCTAAGTTGACACTGCCAACATGTTTGCATGTTTCAGCATTTCTTATGTACATGTCCACTAAGAGAAAGAGCAAGCAATGGTGGTTGAGAAAGTCAGTGTGAATGAAGAGAACGAGTGGCATTAGCAAACATAAAGCAGTAAATCAGAGAAATATAGCTTTGTTTTCTGAGCACAAATAAACACAGCCTCACTTCCATACAACCCTGTGGGAAGGCTTCTGTGTCATGCAGCCCAAACGTACACAAAACCCTGCTGTCTGTTCTGTTGTGCCCTCTGCTGTGCACCGTGTGTGTGTGTGTGTTGCTAAGCCCTGCACAGAGCCACAGCACGAGAGACGGTATGGGGAAATATTCCTTCATGAGAATCACACTTTCACATGTTATCATGGAGATCGGCTGGACCCTGGTGTAGGCAGGGTAATGTCTAAGTTCTAACTTCCCCAGACATTTTCTGCCTGTGCATTTCCACACACGCACGAAGGGGTATATGTAGCTTACTGTTTTTTTAATGAGGACCAGAGAAAGTCTTTTTAAAATTTCATTTTACAGTTTAGACATGAAAATACAATGAAATAAATAGTTTTTTTGGACAACTGATGTCTATGAAGTATTCCTAGTGTCTGGAGAGGCATGCATTCCTGTTCTGCACCTGCTCACTGTGACAAATGTTACTTTATCTGTACTGTATTTTTACCTATGTAAATGTTGCTAAACTGGTCATTTTGGCCACATTTGACAACCACAAGAATATTAAAAACTGTATTTGAGTATCAGTTTGCGGTACCAGTACTTTACTTGAGTATTTTCATTTTATGTCATTTTACACTTGTAGTCCGCTACATTTCAGGGGAAAATACACTACTTCTTACTACACTAATAACTTTCATTTTGCATGAAATTCATGGTATTAACATATGATGCATTACAAGAGATTACAGGTCTGTCATAATCATGTAGTTGTCATGATTCGGTTCTGCTGTTTCCTGTCATGCTCTTATTTTGCCATTATTTCCTGTTTTTGCTTCACCTCAGTTTTGGTCTTTTTACTTTCATAACCACTCACATTAGTTTCACCTGCTCCTTATTGTTTGCACCTGTTTTTCACCTCTAGGCAGCATCCTCCCACCAGGACGCTGCCAGATTGTTCTAGACCCCAGTGTAAGATTTGAGTCTTATAGACTCTAGTTACTTTATCAGCTTTAGTTACTTTTCATGCCTTTAGTTCCTTTAGTTACCTTTCATAACTTTATCTTACCTGATTACAGCTGTATTGATTATTGTGCAGAACTACTGAGCTCTGGTTATTTTCTAATACA